CTGTCACTGCCATCTAGTGTTGACATTAAAAAACATGATACTTGGTAAACTAGCAGGAATATGAAATGGGAAAGCAGCAGTGTGTCTCTAGAAAGTTATGAAGTAAACCGTTTTTATCGACCTTTATTAGTAACCAACAGGAAATTCACATTAACCAATTTATGGTGATCATACATTTATTTTCACTGAAGATGAATGTGTAAATTTTAATGCCTGGAGAAATGTGTAGTTAGGGGATAACATTAGGGGAGAACATGATTGACTCTTTTGAAGCTGCATGAAGCAATGTTTTTGTATTAAAGTTATATGTATGTTAAATATGTACATGAGATTTAAAACAATATAGCAGCAAACAACTATTAGCTATGTAAAGATATAGTGGATTAATGTTAATGAGTAACGGTGTCCTGAGAAGAGAATGATGTCACACTGCTTTTGCCTGTGTTGCAGCCTCTTTGTGCTTTGTTTACAAATCCGGTCTGGCCAAAGATGCATCTTTTAATCCTCCCATTTCCAATTGAGGAGGGTGACTGAAACTGCTGTTTTCTAATCTGCGTCAGTGAATTAAGTGAATTATATGGGAAGTAAAGTTACCACTTTAGAGTCTGGTGCAAGCGATAGCGATATTACAGTGGTTATTGTTTCTGGTAGAACAAAAGGTCTATCTCTGTAGGGATCCTTTCCATAATGTTGTCAGACACAACAATCTGAGCCTGTTAGTGGCAAATGCACTGTTAGTGGACGTATGTGGACGGGTGCATCTGTCCCCAAGGATTAGCTAATGTGTCGATGCGTGCCTATTTTTTCCATCTAACTTTGTGCATTAAGGTTTTATTTCGACCTAACCAGCATTTATGATGGTTGGAAAGACTAACGGAGATGGTTTTGGTGAGTTTTATTTTGTTTCTTTAAGTCCAGTTTGTGGGTAAAATGACAATGGTTTTGTCAGTGGAGTGTAGTTGGCAGTAGTGCCCATCATTTTGGTTCTCTAGTGCGACATGTAGTAGCAGGTGGATTTTGTGTATATGTATGTATATATATATATATATATAATAACCTTTAATATTAGATCAAATAACTTCTGTTTAATAAGAAAGAGACCCTTGTAGTGTTGTTATCACCAACTCTGCACCTCTGTATGGTTCAGTCTGGCACTTTCTGCAGCAGCAGGCACCTGTTTTCAACAAATAAGATCTGATAAACCCACTGTACTGTACTACCTGCCCAGCACCACACAGACAGACAACGTTAGACACTAGCTGGTGAATAAAGTGGAACATTAGCTAAAAAGCTTCTCAGGAGTTGGAGTCTCCTAAAAGCAAAAGTGAATATTGGATTCTGCGTTAAACAGGTCAGAAATATCCAAATGAATGATAGTGTTGCTCCATGTCTGCTTGATGTGTAAATAGGTAATAGTTTACAAACAACTTGTGCTGTGGAGTTTTCCTCTAAACAAACAAAAGTTATGTTTACATTCAGTGTTACTCAGCAAAACGCACAGTGTGTATCCTTGAGCTCTAACAATGAATGAATTTCATTGCTTCAATAAGCTGATATTGTGTCCAAAGTATATGTCTTTCAGATTTTATGAAGCCTTCAAACCCCTGTTCAGTAACATTAAGTGCTGTGTCAGTGTACAGGTATTGAACCAAATAAAAATGTCTTGTGATGATTTGGCTGATATAGTTTGAAAGCCCCTCCTGGAATGTCAATGTACGGAGCACCAGCCTCCAGTTGGTTGTGGGTAGTTTGACTGTGACCATCCTGTCAAGTGTGAACACACGCTGGTTCCCCTCATGCAGCACTCATGAGGCAGTTAATGCAACCGTGCACACTGTAATTCCCCAAAACAGTTCTTTGCAAAAAGCCCCGATCACAAACATCTGATCCACAGAGCCCGGTTACCTCCAAACACCTGATAATGCTGGTCTTTCTTTCACATCATTGGCTTTAAAATGTGACTTGCAATGCTGGTGCCTGAATCATAACACCGTCTTCTATGGGTGAGAAGCTATGACTAGTATATTCCAGTGGGTTATTCATCCAAAACCGAGCTGGAAAATTAGTTTTGAATTTCGGGAAATTTGGAGAAGTAATCAAAGTCAAAGGTATTGATCTGCATATTATCAGATATTATGGTCATTTGGTGGGTTAGGAGACACTTAAATCTCACTGTTCCACTTAAATGTGTTATTATGTTAACAAAATATTTTGTGCTAATATTTTTTGCTTTGGCATTCAGGCTGCATTTGTGTCCTGTGGGAATGACGGGAAGATGTAGAAATCTGGGTTCTTTGCCAAACCGCAAGTTCCCAAGTCACATTTACCAGAAGAAAGCTGAACTTGAACTTGTGTCTTCAAACTTTCTCACATGACAGGGAGTCAGTGTGACACTGTGTCACCCTCTTACTTTAGGGGGTTTATGGATAGCCTTATTCCAACATGAGTTGACCATGACCAAGACTCGGCTCTCCACTTGGCTGATGAATCCTTGAGGATTTGGCACAGGAAGTTTTAGTGACTCAGGTTGGCGAGTCATGCTGTGGTGGTGTGATGGGACCAGACATGCCCTCATCCTCTAAATGAGCTGGTCTCTGTTTGATTCCCTCCCAGTAGTAACTGAGTTGATATTTCCCACCCAGTCAAGGTTTAACTGGCCTAAAACTGTCCAACCAGTAAACTTCCGTAATCCAGACTGGATTAAGTTAAATGACCTGCAACCCTTCTACTTCCTGCATGAGGTCACGTTGCTCTAACCACAGGATTTGGTGTGTTTCTCATGTGAATCTCTCTCCCAATCTCCTCCCTCAGATGGACGAGGCCGGAGATTGCTGTCGGCTTCCTGAATCTGGTTCCCGCGGCAACCGGAGGATGCCGTCCCTGACCAGAGTGGCACTGAGCGCGCTCGGAGCCACTTTTCTCTTGCTCCTCTACAAAGCTGCCAGTGGCAAGGTGTCCCTGCAGATGTAGCAGGATGACAGTAGTGTCAATCAGTTAGTTAATGAGCTCATCATGATATTACTTTTTGATGACTGTAGGTATTAAGTTGGATTATTGAAGGACTGATTTGTTTTAGAACAAGACAGCATTTTTATTTTTGCTGCTTGAACACTTTGGTTTTCCACTTTGCTGTGACTTGTCTTTGAGTTTGGTTCTGAATTCTTTTATGTGTAAGGATTTAAGTGAAAATTAAAGTTCCTTATGAGGAACAATTTATTGCAGAGTCAAATTGAGAATGGTTTCTGTTTTCAGTGCCTGAAAAAAAGTTACTTGATTTTAAAATATAAGTTCTGAGGTTAATATCAACCTCATGTCTGGGTGTTGAATATGGAGCTTCCAGTAAAGATTGGATGCAGGGGGGAATCAGCTAGCCTGGCTCTGTACAAAGTTGAAAAGAGAAACAAATCTGCCCACCAGCACCTCTGAATCTAACCTTTTAGACATCTGTACTTGAACAGAAATGTAAAAACAACCATTTGTGATTTTGGGGGTGTTGCACATTGGAACTATTGCTTGGCGAACAACAGCTTTAGAGGCAGTGTCTTGAACCGTTACATTTCAATTAAGGTATGTATTAGATATACAACGCCCTGATTCGTGAGCATTACAGATCTTCTGTACATTTTTTGACTTTTGAGGCAGCTTCCAGTCTTTATGCTAAGCTAGTTGTCTCATAACTCCAGCTACATACTGAACCCACAGACATGAGAATGATATCAATCGTCTTATCTAACTGAAAGAAATGTAATAAGTGTATTTCCAATGTTGTTTATTTATTTGTTTTTGGTTTATTCTTTAAATCCAGAGTGCTGTGAATCTGAAGAATCCTGTTTCCCAACCTCTAACCATTCTAGCCACCACCTATGATGTTCAAATTCAGGAAACTTTTTTAAAATCCAGAAATAGAACCTCAGAAAGATAAATTATTAGAGTATTGATTGATTGTGAGTTATCAGCTCAGTGCTTTAAGTGAGTTTAGCTCAGATGACCAGGTCAGTTAGAGTCAGTCTCTTCAGGCCATCACCTGACTTGTTAAATTGTCTACAATTACCGGTCTTTCTCTTAAACCAAGCAGTGAGTATAGCAGTGAACAATTACTCCAATTAAACTGGATTCATATTACAGACTTATCACAGCTACTGCTGCTGTGTTCAATGGGCTGAGAGGAGCAGAGAGAGCGCTTTAAATCTCCTTGTTGTTTTATGGTTTTCTTCCACGGGGATCATGGGAAAAATCCAATTTGCCCATTAATCTCATCTGGTCAGGGTCTCCGGACCTCCAGATACACCCGGGCCAGATCAAAGATGGAGGAAATACCGTGTGACAGCGGCACAGATTTCCCCAAGAGACTTCAAACGGACCGTGATAGATAATCCAATTGAAATGGACACATCACCTTTAGATGCTGGTTTGGTGGAATCTGTGCGTAATTTTTCTTTCCCTGTGTTTTTTTTTTTTTTTTAAACCATCATTCCTGAGTTATTAGTAGGACTGAGTGACGGTTTGTTTAAGGCTGTACAATAATGCGTCATGCCTGGGCATCAGAACTATTTGGTACCTGTGTGTCAGTGGGTATGGAAGTGTGCCGTCACCTTCACATAAATCCAAATTTCATTCTACGTTTTAGGCCTTAATGAGAATGAATGCCCACACACTGTATGTGGGAGCCAAGAGGAAGCAGAAAGGGAATTCTGGGATGTGACTGGATAGTTTGATGTCTTATTGTTTATCATAACCACTGTGCAGCCCCCCTTAAAATTCTGAAAATGATCCTTACAAACTTTAAAAAGTCTTGTGCGTAAAAGACACGGACCCTGTGCCCCAGAAGTTACTATCTTTAATTTGTGCGCAAAAGTAATCTTCTATAAGTTCCCGGGCTCCGTGCGCCACAAAAACCGGTCCATCTGCTCCACGTTGTCCCCTGAAATTGAATCTTAAGCGTTTGTGCGTTTTTCTGGTGACTGACAATGGCTGAGTGTGCCGGCTCCCTCCTTGGCCGACGCGTCGGTGCAGTCTGAGTGAAGAGCCCATCAGCTTGGACCACATCTCAGAGCAGCGGAGCTCCGGTCTGGACGCGGGCCAAGCCTGTCTGGTGTCAAACCAGCCTGAACAGATACTCTCAGACATCTCATTTCTTCACCTCATTCCTGAGACGGGACTCTGCCCACCCCTTGTGTAAAGCAATTTAAACCTGATAGCTCATCATCTCCACTGAAAATATTTGCTGGAGTATTAGACAGTCGCTCTTTGCTTCTTCCTCACAAGCACTTTGCCACCGTGCACAACCCGAGCCCGGTCATGGCTTTTACGCGCAAACCTCCGTCCTCCGACTGTCCTGTGATGATATATTTTTTATTCCAAGCTTGATTTTGGAGTTTCAGCAAATTCTGACTTCTCTAATATTTTTATATTTCTCTTTCATCCGTGGAAATGCTCCGTCCAGAACCATAAAGGACCAACGTTTGCTTAATATGAACTTATTGCCAAGTGGAATATGTTTTTATTTATCGGTAGCAATCTGCTGGCTGACGGCCGAGGTCGATGCGTCCTGGTGGTAAGTACTGTGTAGTGTTTTTACATCTTTATTTAATATGAAATAGCTGAATGCCATGCGCTGAATGCATGGCTTTCTTATTAAAATGGCGGAAAATGCGCTCCAATGCCGTTAAACGTTGTTTAATTAATGTGCGCATCAGACTATCTGACTTGTGAGAAATTATCTCGGGTATTGTTTCCTTTCTCTGTTTGATTATTCTTTAAGAAAAAAAGCTCTAAATTGCCTTCAAAACTGTTTCATATCTTTTTGCTTTTGTTAATCAGAAATTTCACAGTGACTAAATTCCCTCCTTGGTTTTCATAACTGTATTTTATAAAATACTGAAGTCGAGGACTGAATGTTTTGGACAGAGAGGTTTCCAGGATAAAGTCACACGATATCATTTAATTTCTCTTTATTTGCTGCCCTTCTCTTGATTTTTCTAATGAATATTTGCAAAGGTTATGTTTCCAAATTCCATGCTTCATACTGCCTGTGATACTGAGATGCTGTTTGGACGGATAATTTCCCTCAGTTCCTTTTTTCTTGCTGCTCTGGTCTTTCTTTAATTGCTGAAGAAAATCCCGGCAGCCTTGCAAGTGTTCAAATTCCCTGACAGTCTTTCATCACCTTGTTCTGCAGGTACATGGGAGTGTGGACTTGTTAGGAGTGATTTCAACACATTTCTCATGAAGACACCTTTTCGCCTTGTTATTTCTTTATCTTTGTCTCCAGTTATCTGTGTCTGCTTAAGTGTGCAACAACCCCTGCAGAGCTCTATACTGCAGCTACCTGGAAGTTTAGCCATATATTGAGTTAGTTTGCACTTTTGTTGATAGAATTAGTCCAACATTTTCCTTAAATTTCTGTCTTTGAGATCACTGAGAGAAAGTGGTGACCAAATTGTATTCATCTGTCTGCCTGTCCAGATATTTTGAATGTGTATTTTTCCTCGTTGCACTTTTCCCTTCCTCGATTAATGATTCAAAAGTTTCCCCAGATGTTCACTAGTTCAGCTTTCTCTCTGTCTGCCTCTCCTCTCTGCAGGTACATGGGCACCCTGGGCTCCCAGGTGATGTGCGACAACATCCCAGGTCTGGTGAATAGGCAGCGCCAGCTGTGCCGGCAGCACCCAAAAGTGATGCAAGCCATCGGGGCCGGGATGAAGGATTGGATCTCAGAGTGCCAGCACCAGTTCCGCAACCACCGCTGGAACTGCAACACCACAGCCAGGGACCACAACCTGTTCGGACGCCTGCTTCTACGCAGTGAGTGGAGGGAATGTTAGACCCAGGAGGGGACACTTCGATTACTTCAGACTAAAAAAAAAAGCTTTAAAAAGCTTTATCCTGGAAAATGTGCAACATCAGGGAGGGACTGTCCTTTATTTAGAGGATCTGAAATCAAACCTTGTCCAGCAAGCATCCTGCCTGCTGAAGTGTCCTTGAGCAAGTCACTGAGCCTCTATCAGCTCCAGGGCTGCTGTTCTGTAGTTGACCTCTGACCCCTCAGTAGGACAGGCAAGAGACAAATGTTTACCAGGTTTAGCTGTTATAGTTTAGTCTCTTACTAGACCAAATGAAACAGTGACCATTGTTAATATCTGCCTCACTTTGTCTCAGTGAATTATGTCTGTAGACATCAGATGAAAGTTGCATTAAGCTATTCACTTGTTGTCTCTCTGTAGTTGTATTGTTGGAAAATTCTCATGTTGAGATATTGTGGTTTACAGTTGTAAGTAATTTTTTTAAAAACTGAACTTATAATTGAAAATGAAAAGATGTTGTTGTCGGAAAACACTAAAAACATTTAACTCAGTGTCATGAGCGTAACTTCAGAACGTGGTTTTGAGAACATCAATACTGAGGTAATGCTGTGATAATTACAGATATATTACACTTCTCCTTATTGCTCAACCTTGCAGTAAATTATATAAGGAGCGGGGAAGAGGTGCAGAAAGTGTGTATAAAGCGCTTATTTCTGATACGACTCCAGGGGCTGTCAGGTGCCTTAAACTCTGCACGGCTAAGAATAGAAAGTTATTGACTAGATTGCCTGCAACAGTATACAGTGTGCTGGGTCGTGTTTCCAGGTCATTGTGTGCTGCTGGCACCTTTTGGAATTGAATCCCTGCATGAACTCGTGTGTTACAGCCCACCGATCTGTTTGCAGTGACAAACACGTTCGACCGTATGCCTTAACTTAACGCTGACAAATCTAAACAATCAGTTGGTTTTCAAAGGGTCGGGTAGATTTACTGAGGCTTTCTGGGAAACGGATAGTTCCCTCGCAGATATGTTCTCTTTTTCACAGAGGTTGGATCACATTCCATGCCTCGTCTCACTTTACAATTGTACATTTATCACGTCGGTGCAGCCGACTGGTTTCTCCATCAGTCTGTTCTTGTGTTGGGTTTTAACACACTCAGTACTTTATTTTAACAATATTATCAGTTCTGGTATGCAGATTTAGTGCTGAAAAGATTAGTTAGCGGAAGAAAAAATAATTGGTGACAGTCTGATCATTAATAAATTGTGTAAGACATTTATCAAGCAAAATTACTGTATAAATCCCACAATAGCCTCTGCCAGTTCCAGCTTCCCAGGTGTAAGGATTTTCCGCTTTTCTCTGTCTCATATAATTTTTATTGAATATCTTTGGGTTTTGAACTGTTGGTCGGACAAAACAAATAAACTGAAGACATCACCTTGGGAAACTGAAAAAATCCTCTACAGACTGATCAATAATGCAAATAATTACTTGCAGGTTTATTACATACATACATATTATTACAATTTAATAATAAAAAAAAGTTTACATTTTTATCATTGGTGTGTTGTATCCACTCCAGCTACTGTCTCAGTTAGTGAATTACTCTCCACTCAACTCATTCAAATGAGAAATGGTAGAAATTTTGACTTTTTCCAAACAAATGTAATCCCCTCACTTTCAACATCCACGTCAGGTCATTGCCACTGTTTATCTTCATTCATTCTCTTCATGATTTGCAGAAGAAGAGACTTGATTTATTCAGCACTTCAAAGTCAAGAGAAGTCATTTTTTGGGGAACTATAGTATAAAATAAATGTTATGCAGTAATTAGTCTAATCAGGGACTGAAATGAGTAACTGCCGCTGCCTGTGATAGACGTGGGTTCTGGACATCCTGTCAAATTAGACGCGTCACTGTGCGTCTCAGCAGCTAAAATCGGTCTGTATCTCCTGTGAGGACGTGTTACTACAAGTCATAATCTTATTTTATTGCCACTGCAGGATCATCAGGACCCGGCGGCCTGATGTTCCTCTCCCATGCCCCGAGATTTAACCTGCGAGGCGGATCCTTCGACTTAGTCTGTTTCATGTCGGGGCCTCTAATCAGCCGTGTGGTATTCGGACCTCCCAGCCGGGCCCCGGCCGTGTCACACAGCATTATCACGGCACATCGAAGCCCCCGTCAGAAGCTCCTTATTGTCAATGTCAGCGGGCTAATTTCAAAGAATTACACAGGAGTTTTCTCTCTGGTGTCGTGTTCTCTCAGCGTTCTCCTCATTAACCTCGTGAGGCACACTCAACTTAGCTGCTGGACTGGGGCGCGCACACACACACGCACACACACTGATATCACTGTATGTAGGGCTAGGTGTTATTTGTAGTTTTTCAGTATTCGTGCTGATACAATTATGCATACCAATCCTTTTTTTGATACACTACTTTGAGAGACATGTTCTTCTGCAAAACCCTTTTTTAACAATTTGACATACATTAAATACATTTACTCTTAACACAAGCAGCTGTGCAAGAACTTTGCCTAAATAAAATAGTAATAACATTTGCAAAGTTTCTCATAAGAGTTTTAGTAAAAAATAGTATCATAACAAATAAAATGTCTATTTTTTTATTTATTATTATAAACCGCATCTATTTGAGTATTTTAGCTGCTTTTCCAAAAGGATGCAGGTTTGGTTTCAGATTTAGGGAAACACAGTGAAGTCAAAGGTCTTGGGTTCCGTCTATGAATACTGTTTTTTGAATTTATTGACATTTATATCAATCTAGAAAATTAGAAATGGTAGAATTATTGTGCTTTCTATAACAATAGTCTAAAAAAGAGAGTCAAATCAGAAATACAACAGTTTGCAAATTAAGGTATTAGTTACCATTTTTAAAACCACATTTATTGTAATTAATAGAGACCTGATACTTAATGAAAGAAAATCTAGTTTTTACAAATATCAGTACTGTTCTTTGCCCTGTTTTTGGTTCAACTCCAGTTCTAAAGTAGTTAAATATATACATATAAATGAATGAACATAAATGATTTTGTTTTCCCCTGTTAACGTGTTTGCACTTGTTCTGGCCCTGAATTTTGTCTGCAGGTGCTCTTACGTCGCCATGTGTCCCCATCAGGCTCCACCAGTTACATGTTGAGGGCAGTTTGTAATCCGACAGATGAAACCCCGGGCAAAAGTGGTTCGAAAGACACTTAATGTTGCTCTGAGTGCAAGTAATAACTGAGAGCATATGAGCCTTCTCTCATCTAGATTATGATGACTGGACAGTAAGAGGACAGTTTAGAGATTATTTATTTCAATGACACCTTTTGCTTTATTTTCTAGATAATGTATGATTTAATAAAATATCCGTTATCACTCTTAACATGTCAAAAATACACTTCTTTCATCGCTATCACTTTGTGTGTCTTCACCTGTGTCATAACTTTGTAGCCGAGGTTAAAGACACACACACACACACACACACACACACACACACACACACACACACACACTCCCTTTGCCCCCTTTGCCCCAGCCTTTGATCTCTCTCAGATCTCTCATCAGTTACATGTGGAAGGAGATAAGGGTTCTCTATCAAGGCATTTCTGGTAAACGTTGGCTGTTTATCCATCTTGGAGGTAGATGAAGGAGTTTTTTTCTTGCATGAAATGAAAGCTTCTAGCAGACAACAACAAACACGGGTCATACAGGTAGCAGCGCTGGCCAAACATTTGAAGGATCTCTCTGTTTGTCATGGCTTGGGAAAAGCCAAATTCAAGTTCAACAGTGTATCAAACACTGAGCAATGATAACCTTTCATCGCCAAGGTCTTTAGATTGCTCTGATACAATTTAAAGTAGATCCGAATAATCCTGTAGGAGAAGTTTGTTAGTACATTTCATGGAAATTGCAAGAATTGTGCATTTGTTGCACGTTAAAGTCAAAATGGCAGACTTACTGTTTGGGTATGGCTCTAAGAGGCTTTGTCTAGAAATGATACATGTGCCAATTTTTGTTTATCTCTGTGCCATGCCATCGGGGCTGCTTCATTGACATTTTGTAGAGGCGTTATCGACCCATGTACAAGAACCTTATCAGATGTACGTGTTTGACACTTGAGACATGTGTGCCGCGTTTCATACGTTTTTGATTATCTCTGGCCCCTCAAAAATGAAAAAATAAATATTGAAATTCACCATCCACCATGGCGAAACCTACAAGCTTCATAATACAGCACCATCAAGGTCTTAAGACTTTGGTAAACAACTAACCTTAAAGACCTTAAGACTTGTATTGTTGACTGAATTTGTTGGCCTGCCTTGTTACAGATGTTACAGATGTTACAGATGAACATCTCCTCCTCTCCCCTCAGGCAGTCGCGAGGTGGCTTTCATGTACGCCATCTCCTCGGCCGGTGTGGTCTACACGTTGGCGCGAGCCTGCAGCCAAGGCGAGCTGGACTCCTGCTCCTGTGATCCCACTAAGAAGGGCTCGTCGCGGGACGCCAAGGGCTCTTTTGACTGGGGCGGCTGCAGTGACCACGTGGAGCACGCCATTCGCTTCAGCCAGGCCTTCGTGGACGCCAAGGAGAGGAAGGAGAGGGACGCCCGGGCGCTCATGAACTTACACAACAACCGGGCCGGCAGGAAGGTGAGGAAGCACCTACTTAAAGGATTCAGTGTTTCATCTTCACTGTCACTAGATTTTAATACCCACTGTGATATTGAGACTGTGAAGACCGAACTTTGACTTACTTCCCGTTCTCTCCCTCTCTCCCCGCCAGGCGGTGAAGCGCTTCATGAATCTGGAGTGTAAATGTCACGGTGTCAGCGGGTCGTGCAGTGTTCGGACCTGCTGGCTGGCCATGGCCGACTTCAGGCGCACTGGCGACCACCTTCGCAAGAGGTATAACGGCGCCGTGCAGGTGGCCGTTAACCAGTACGGCACTGGGTTCACTGCCGCACACGCACACTTCAAACGACCCAGCAAGAATGACCTGGTGTACTTCGAGGACTCGCCCGACTACTGCATACGGGACCACGAGTCAGGTATTCACCTTCCAACCTTTATCGCTTCACTGAATGATCAGACTGCGCTTGTAATTTGAGATACACTCAGCTTTCCAGGATGCATAGATTTGGTGATTTGTAGGTCAAACAATGTGTAGACATCCAGATTGGAATCAGGCGACATTTGTGTGAAAGGTTAAGTTTTAACTAAACTGGCGTTTTGTTCTTTTAAATGTTCCACCTGAGTTGAGATGGCATTATTCTCACCTTCCCAAATGAACCAAACCAAAGAAGAGTTCAAAAGAACCACTTCAACATGGTTGGTTGGTGTGAACATGCTCTTAAAGCAAAGGAGAGGTGTGAACAGATTTGTCATGGGGGTTTTTAAATGCTTGATAACAAATGTTGTGGTTGAATTACACAAACAAAACCTCCAGCAGGTTAAACGTTCTTGGAATCTCAAACCTGCCCAATGTCCGCTCTTGCTTTCTGTAACGTGACAGAACTGGTTCCAATATGTTTTAGCATCTATCACCAGTGTTTAGCTGCTAACCACCAGGGAGGCCCACATTTACAGACTCAGAAGCCTGAAGTTTACAGTTCAGTGTTGAGTTGGTTTCATTATGTTAGCCGTTCATTATTTGTGGGGGCTTTAAAACTACGTGCTTCTGTGTGATGAGGGAATCACAATGAGCATGTGGTAGTCGCTCCTGTAGAGATCAGAGGATGTCACGCCAAGGTGACTTTTGAGTCTTTGATCAGCTCTGGTTGGTGCCAGCATGTTTTTTTTAGGTTCACTTCACAGCCAATGGCATCCTGTAATGTCTCCAGTGTGTCGTCTCAGCAGATTTCTGTTAACCATTTCAAGTGACAAATATTTTTTACAATGTCAGGATGGAGGCAGCTTTCTGTGTCTTGCAGAGTTGAGGTCGGAATCCTTGTTTTCTTGCTTACACGTAGTTTAACTGAGTTTGTCCCTGCCCGTCACACTTCGTTACAGTATCTCAGGAGTAAAAATGCATACAGAAATCAACCTGAGGTTTGTGAAACAGTAGAATGTCAAAACTGCATTACTGAGGAGGCAACGAGACCACAGTGTTACTTTACCTCCAATGTTGGTGCCCAGACACTGGTGTCAAGATAGATAAGCCGTTAAAGAAATGTGTATCTAAGTGAGTGAAATCTGTGTTTATTTATGTGAGTCTTGGAACAAGACAGTGAGTGTGAGAAGGAAAATGTGTATAAAAACTGTACGAGAGAAAGAAGCGTGTGTGTGTGTGTGTGTGTGTGTGTGTGTGTGTTCATAGTGGAGGTGGATGCCTGTCAGGCAGCAGATGATCCGTGGCGATCGGGTGTCGGCCAGTTTAAGACCCATTACACACTTCTGTAGGCTGAAACCTTAGAACACCACAGATCACTATAAATCACCACCACTGGAAACACACACACACACACACACACACACACACACGCCTGAGGGCACGATTGGCCTGCAAAAAGAGGCATATTTCGGGGGCAGGTTGAATCACACAACAGACACACACACAGTGGTGGGGTTTGCAGTGTGTTTTGTGCTTTTCCGAAGTCTTCTCCTTCCTTCTTGTCACCTCACTTTAAATGAAAAACACATTCATCCAAAAACACTATTTTGTTGTTGTTTCTTCCTGTTCAAGTCTGCTTGGGAATGCAGTTGAGAGTGCAGGTTGATGGGAACCCCTTTCTGTGTTGCATTGTCATGGCTCCCCCTGAAACAAAACTTAAATTTAAGTGAAATTGAGTGACGGTTGAATGCTTTGATTTGCACTTAGCTGCCGCAGATCTTTGCACACGAGACATATCTCTTTCTACACTTAGGAGCCAGAGGAAACGTTGGATGTTGTAAGAATCAAACCTGGGAATTGTCTGTCACGGGACAGTGTCATGTATTATGTGTGCAGTAGTAGAAGTTATCAGGCGCCGTCATGGTCTTTTAGGTGCTAAGAGAGTTTTATGACCTTAAAGAAGCATGAAGAACTTTCAGAAGCATGGTTTTAATTTAGAGGGTAAGACTGTTTGATGTTTGGAGATAAAAGCTACGAGAGTGTATTCTAGTCTTAGAGCATGGGAGACAATTCTTAAAGTTTTGGGAGTTTTCAACTGCATCTCACTAACCCCATTTACACCTGGTATTAAAAAGGGATCTGAATCCAAATATGTTATCCAGATAATCCAGATAATAACCAACGATTTGATCTTGCCTTTGTATATACACCTGGTATTTTAATGCGATGTCATTATCCTCGTTGAGGTTAGATCGCTGTCCTCCAGAGCAAAAGTTGCGTGTGAGTTATTTGAGGTGGCCGCAAATCAGCCCCAGACTCCCTTAAGAATGGAGGACACAATGTTTTGTGAGTTTTTAGGGGAAACTTTATAACCTTGATGAAACCCTGTCTACAACATATCCTTAATAGTTTGATTGCTCTTGAAAATTTCAACAACCTATATTCTATGTTAGCTAAAAGCAAATCTCTGTGTCAGTGCTGCGTTTACACTATACCTAGGATCCAATCACAATGCGAGTCAGACTACCTCCAGATGTGGTCAGATCACATTCCGATCATTTCACATTTACACCTTGCATTAACATGTGTTTTCCCTATCTGGATAACATACAGATCACATTCGAATACCAGGTGTAAACGGGATCAAAGTCCTCTGGAGCTCAGGTGTCATTACCTCATTTATTTATTCAGACAGGAAACATGGAGGGAGGGAGAGGGTAACAACATGCAACAACAACAACATTTAATTTTTATTATCTCATTATTATTATTATTTGGGCTTTTCATTGACTCTATTACATAGTAGCCGCTGAAGAGTGACACTATAGTGGGGGGAGAGAGAGAGAGAGAGAGAGAGTGGGGAGATGACATGTAGCAAAGGCCAGCAGGTTGGAATCAGACTGAGGTCTCATGGGGCACACCTTCTATCAGCTGAGCTACCAGGGCGACTGTTTTTGGTTGTTGTTCTTTTTTTCAAGCAAAAATGACCAACAATCCCTAGTTCCAGCTTTTTAACTGTGATGATTTGCTGCTTTTTTATGTGATAAACTATTTAAATATTTGGGTTGGGTTTTTTTGGGACTGTTGGAGAAACCAAGATGGCACCTTGGCTTTAAGAAAGTGTGATGAGCATTTGTCTTGATTTTTTATAGACCAAACTATTAATCATTTAATTGAGAAAATAACAATTAGCTGCAGACCTACTATAGACAATCTGAAAATGGCCTCACCGGGTTCCTTAAATCCTACTTAAATAATTTTCCCTCTAACCTCCCGATGGACCTCTGGAGGTCTTAGGGCCTCCTTCAGGGAACAAGTAGAGGCTTCACAGCAGACCTGAAGGCTTTATGTGCTGTGTACATGTAAGCAGGGTGAGGTAACACACACAAACACACACAGTGTTCACCCTGGGCCTCTCATGAGAACTTAACTCGCTCCCTCTCTAAAGACCAGCTCCTCTGGGACACACACAGAGACAGACATGTAAACTCACTCTCAGTCATGACACGTACTGTACATTGACACCCCCCCCCCTTTTAGACACACACGCTCACAAACATGAAGCCCAATCGTTTTTGAAACACATACTTTGAGTGGTCACTCTTGTTCTTTCTCCCATCTCTCTCTCTCTCACACACACACACATACACACACACACACACACACACACACACACACACTTAAAAAGCTCTCAAAGACGTGCAAACTCACCCTCAATCATTCTGGAAACACACAGACTGAATCCATTCTCACAGACAGATGGACACACACACACACACACACACACACACACACGGAGGCTCAGAGCCCACAGAGATAGTGAGACGGCCCCTCTGTGCCTCTTTAAAGTGTGAAATCAATTTCCCTCGGCCCCGGCGAGGCTCAGGTGCTAAACTCATCTCTCGGCGCCCCCTCATCTTAATTCAATAAGCAGACACAGAGAGAGCGAAGGCTGCGAGGAAGACTCTGGCCGTGATGTCATCCCTAGCGGGGCAGCATACCACAGATGACGGGCGGGCGCGCTGCCAGAGAGGGGCGGGGCTTCAGGTCATGCCCAGACATATTACCTGGCGGGGGAACGGCGCAGAGGTGGTGTACTCGCAGAGCGAAGCAGAATGTAAACATGAGCAAATTCCAGAACAATGTTCGCGATGGTACTTGAAGCCAGTGCATCATTTTTTCTAAACCTTTATTTATACAGGAGACACACATGTTCTTCTTCAGTAACAGCTTCAGTCAGTCAGTCACACCTGCACAGTGCAGCCGCAGTCCTCTGCTGGCTGAACATCTGCACCACAGCAGCCCCAGTTCGGGTTTTATCTTTCTGAATTCAAATTCACATCAACATCTGCAAGATCAGAACAAATCTTGGAAAGGCTGCAGAGTTTTTTTGGTTATATAGACTATCAACTTTTTTCCGTTCATTGTTTAATCTATGAAATGTCAAAATCAGCCGTCACATTTTCCCAAAGTCTAAATCTACGTTATTATTACTATTTTATTTGTTGTTATTAATATTTATTTTATTGATTTAATTTTTGGCATTTCGTTTTATTTGGATAATGACAGTAGAGAGTGACAGGAAAGATGGGAGAGAGCAAGGGGCCGGATTCGAACCCGAGCCACAGCGATGAGGACTCAGCCATGATGATGATGTAAGCAGTACACGCTCTATCTAGTGAGCTACCAGGGCAACCCACATTTACAGTAATTTTTTTTTTTTAAACAAGCAAATCCTTTAATGTGAGAGGTGGAACCAGCGAATGTTTGCCGTTCTTTATTGATAAATGACCAAAATTATAAATCAGATATCAATATTTATTGTCTTGGTGGCAAAGGGGGTTCGGGACACTGACCATGTATTTGTGAAACTTTCCACTGTCTTATAAAGGCAAAAAACCCAAACAACTGTTAGACTGATCAAATGGCTTTTTTCCTGCCGCATACACTCTGGACACACCTCTCTGTCTGGTGACGTAGATGAGATATATACTTTATTAATCCCCTATTGGTAACAAGCAGAAAGGATTGATTGAATTAAGATTTTAATGAGTGGTGGGATTCTTGTTCCTTGCAGTCAGTGTTTTACTGTACTGTATGTTATAGCTCTGCTGACACAGCACAGTATGTGTGATGCATTACATATTCTTTACAGACTGGTTCAGCACAGGCTAAACCGGCTGGTAAGGTAGCTGTGTCTGGAAACTGCTGAAGTTCACAGAGGTCAAATACATAAACAGAATAGCTGATTGTGAAGTGCATGTTTCACACTACTTCCTTTCATTATTTACAACTTTGAAACTCTACAGAAATCAATACCTGTGAATCAGTGCAATGTAAATCAATACTTTCATTGTGCAGCTGATAATTGAATCCTACAAAAGCAGTAATTAAGAAAATATTAAATAATGAATGTTCTTATATTACTGAATTTGTGCCCAACCATTAAGCAAACATAATGGTAAATGAAATGAACACGTTTAATGGTAAAAGGTGTCAAATAATAATTCAGAGTGATCAGGATCATGGACAGTCTGACCTGAACGAGCTGCTGGGGTTGAGTGCAGCTTTGTTTGGATTGATGGACAGATACATGGGTGTATAGTTCAGATTTTTCCTGTTGACAAATGTCCTCGACACCGTGTACAACTTTAAAATGTAAAATTGTTTGTTGTTTTATGTTCTGTTCATTTGTACTCACAAATTATTAATGTGACAAAACAGTTTAATAATTCACGGGCAGGAATGAGTTTGTCCTTTCAGCGGCGCGCCGGGCTCTGCAGAGTCATAAGTCAGGTTATTTATATGTTTTTTTCTGTGTTTTGATAAATCGACACTTGACAGTGACACATCATGAAGGAGTCCATTATTCCACTTCACAACTCTGGAGCTGCAGAATCACAGATCTAATCAGAGCCTCCGACCTCCACCACAGCCACAGTAGTTGTGAAGATTCTGTTAAAGAATCACCTTTTACTGAGACTGTCTGAAAGGAGCCGATCCCCCGTTTTATTCCAGTGGTAATCACGGCATGATTCTGTCTTTAACTCGACATAACAAGGTTTGCTTTGTTCTGTGATAAAAGAATAATTATCTTGAGATCTCGCCGTGATAACCCAAACGATCTTGTCACCATCATTAGATAAAAACACAAGGTTCTGATGTCGTAATCGTCTGAAGCATCATAAGCAGACGTACGACACGCTAAGCAGGCCGTGGCGTTGCTCGTGTTTAATATCAACAGATAAAACTGTCGCTGTGGAAGGCTGATGGTGTGTCAGCAGGTAGTAACAGACTGACTTCTACTGATAGATTACCATCATATCAGGGCTGCAACGAACTGTTATTTTCTTAATGAATCATTTGGTCTATAAAATGTTCATTGCATCGTCCAAGAATGTCTTTACAGTGCTTTTTTAGTTTGACCAAAAGCCCCAAACCCCCCAAAAATTAAACTTTCTCTAATGTAAAATATGGAAAAGCAGTAAATTCTCACATTTTAGACATCAGAACCATCAAAACTGTTCTTTTTTTTTCTTTTGCAATAGTAACTAATGCCAATCAGCTTTATTGTTTCACCTCAGTTTTTATGTAAAAATCCCAAATAAGACATGTTGTGTTTGTGTTTAGATGAAAACAAAGCTTATATTGACATAATTCTGATCATTGATCAGTACAATAACCACAACTATGACCATTACAGGCTCCTTTACTTTTATTATAAATGAAGGTGTAGCGGTACCCTCTGTGTTTGTGGAGATAGAAAGTGTGTGTGGCTGGAGGAGAGATTCAGGAGAAAGTGAGCATGTACATGATCAGTGTGGCCAGTCTGAGATAGTGCTGTGTGTGTGTGTGTGTGTGTGTGTGTGTGTGTGTGTGTGTGTGTGTGTGTGTGTGTGTGTGTGTGAGTGTGAGAGCGGGAGAGCGATGGATGTCTCCTGTAAAATGAACAGCTGATGAAGAGTGGGAGTGCGGGCTGACGGCTCCTATCATCAATCTCTCATCTCTCCTCCGTCCAACGTTCATCATCTTACTCACCCCCTCTGTCTCATCTGTAGTGTACTGCCAGCACTGTGCTGCGCTCCCATTGGCTCGTCATTACCAGTAAAACTACTGCCATTGGCTACATTGCGGCTCATATACCCCGCCGAGTCCCATCATCTTTCCTCATTGCAGTAACTGTGTTTACTTATCGGTGGAGTGTTTCTTTAAGACGTCTTAAATCCCTAGGAATTTCCCAGGATGCTTCTCACCTTTTTAGCCTGGAATAATTGTCCGTGTAGGTGTCAAACGGCTCCACCAGGAAATCTCACTTTGGAAGGAAACTACTGAAATGTGTTTTTCAATTTAGAGAATAAATCTGATGTTCAGTGGAAAATGAACTAACTTTATCTCAAACTTAAATCAGGGGACCGTGGTTAGGAAGGAAAAGCTTAAATATGTATCAAGTGATATTTAAATATTGATAAATTAATCATTTTGTCTCAAGATTTTTGCTCCTTTTTTGCCCCAGTCAGTATGAAAAATACCTGATAACAATCACGGTCCCGTGATGTGCCGTACTTAGAAAAACCTCCTAACTGGGTCAGAAATTCAATCCAACACCACCACACTTAAACATCCTGACATTTGTATAAACGAATGACATTTTTCTAGTTTATTAACCATTATATGTTAAGTGATGTGAGGACTGTTTAAGCCTTTTTTTAACACGCAGAGGAGGAGCAGAATGGTGAATTCACTAACTAGCATTTATTTATAATTTGGCATATTATAAATGTAAGTACCTTTACTCAGGTACCTTATTGGTGTATTTTTGTTACCTTAGAATGAGCCGCTTTTATCTACATCCGCCATGTTGAACCGCTATGTTTCTACACTAGCCTCGTCAGCCATCACCAGAAAATAATTGCCTTAACTTTTGAGATGCTCCACATATTTGATTTTGAGGCTTTTAGCAGGTTAGAGGCCCCTCATGAGCGCCCTCGTATTCTGCCCACTGGCTCCCCATGCACCCAAAAGATTTGTGTTTATAATGCTAGAATTTGCTGGAAATGGACATATCACAAACTTTTCCAGTAACAGGAAATCATGAGGAAAAAATTGGGAGAAAAAGCTAATGTGAGCAAGAAATAGATAGAATAGAAATAGATGTGTTTCTTTAGTCTAGAATTATAGATAAATTCCTCTAAAACAAATAATGTGGAGCACATTTACTTTACAATCTTGAAATCTCACTGACCTCTCTCTCTCTCTCTCTTCAGGGTCGATGGGGACTGGGGGGCGGGTCTGTAACCGGACATCTCGTGGCGTTGACGGCTGTGAGGTGATGTGCTGCGGTCGAGGCTACGACACGTCGCGGGTCAGCCGGACCACCAAGTGTGAGTGCAAGTTCCACTGGTGCTGCGCCGTGCACTGCCGAGACTGTCACCAGCAGGTCGACGTGCACACCTGTAAGGGCCAGACGTGACCTCGCCGCCGCCGAACACTACTGACCGCTCGCCTTAAACCAGCAGTCGTACTAGTCACCGTGTAGAAACCACTGCTTTTGTACTGGACCTATCATCCAGCTGTAAGGATATCTCCGTCCTCAGTGCTCAGCCAACTTTCTGCAGTGAAACCTGGTTTTCAAAGGCAATCAGACTTTTCTGTCGTCATTTCTTCCAGTTTTTTTAACCTTAAAAGCCTTTTTTGAACAGATGCTTATGACAGAAACAATCTGGTGTAGAAACTGTTTCAACCACCTGTAAAAAACAGTAAAGGTCTGACACACAAGTACACTGAAAATATATTCTATAATCTATCGTAGTGTTGTCAAATCTCTCGAGAGAATTTCAAGTTTGGTTCGTCCCTTCTGGGCTGCTGTAGAAACATGGCGGACTCCATATCTGTAGATATAAAAGGCTCATTCTAAGGTAACAAGAACATAACAATTGCTATATCCACGTGATTATACACTAATGAAAACATACGTATGAATATTAGATCCTCCTTAATGTTACACACTGGACTTTTATACACAAGTCTACCCTCTCTCTCTCTCTCTCTGCGTCCAAACTCTGCATCACACACACACACACACACACACACACAGGTAACCACCGACCTTTGTTTGTTTATGTAAATATGTGGTTGTGTAAATTAAAATCAGATGTATAGTGTATGGAACCATTATCTGTAACCAAGAGGCACATTTTAACTAATAAACACTCTTCACTTCCTCCTGTCGTGCAAGCCAATCACATGACTGATGATCACCGGAGTTAGACCGAACATCTGACTGCTTCAACAAAGAGTTGGTTTGTTAAGCAGTTTTTTTCCTTTGGCGATATGTTAAAGGAAAAACTATGTTATAGCCGGATCATCATTCCGATCGGTAATAACTTAACACTCAGAGTTAATTGTGGGGACTGAGGAAGGAAAAATATATACACAAACACCTACAAGTGTGTTTCCACGTTGGAGCTCTTAACCTACAAATCACAGTCACTTAATGTTTTTGCAGATCATTTTCGAATGTATGCGTCAGGTTTAGACGTTTGGATGGATTTAGTTGTTTCTGTGGCATGAAACTCGATTGTCAGAAATTTCAGTTGTTTTTCAGTGAACATAATGACCAACAAATGACGAATGACATCATTCCTTGGCAATGCCGTTTTTTTTCAGATCCGATTAATTTAGAAAGTCTGCGTCACGGGACAACAGTAATGTATCTCTGGCAAACATTAATACAGACTGCTATCAATTACACATCTCAAGATACAAAATCTCATGAAATCCAGTGTCGGCCTGGAACAGCAGACCCTAGAATTACTTCCCCATGGTTGTATGCCTCTGCCAACCAGTCAAGCTGCAGTTTAAATCCATGTATGTCCAGACTCATGATATATGTGGTGAATACTTGGAAGGAATGGAATAAAAAGGTATACCGTGTAATTTTTGGCTATACAGTTGTATGCAAAAGTTGGGCACCCCTAGACAAATATCATTTTGGTGATATTTTTTAAACTGAAAGTACGTAAACAGTCTTTTATAGGACATAGAAATCAGTTTTTTGTAGCCAGCGAGAAGCCTATCAGTCTTTGCTTCTAGTCGGCAATAGCAATATTCTTGGGGCGTCCTAAGTCAGGGGACTGTTAGGGCCATTGCAAAACAGCTTCAGCTACAGGTAGTCCACGGTGGATTTTGAGGTATGTTTAGGGTCATTATCCTGTTGTAGAAGCGTTCCTCTTTTCAGCTTCAGCTTTTTTTTATAAATGCTGTGATGTTTGCTTTCAGAATTTGCTGCTATTAAGTGGAGTCCTCCACCCATGCAGCGCTTCCTGTGCCACTGGCTACAACACAGCCCCAAAGCATGATAGATCCACCCCCATGCTTAACAGTTAGCGAGGTGTGCTTTTCATGAAATGCTGATGTTCGGTTGCATACTTCTGACGTTGGATGTGCACACGGGTAAGATTTGCTGACTATATGCAAGCCAAGACCGCCACCATTCCCCTGAGCCGCAGTCTATTAATTATATTCTGTGCAAACTGAAAGCTGACAAGGCTTTGTTATGTTTTTGTAGTCTTCTCCTGCATTATGGGGGTCAATTACTTTTTCCTAATAGTTCATTGTTGGACTGAACTTTTGCACATGCCACAATGATTATGATTTATTTCAGTTGAACTTGACATAAAACGCAACTATGTATTAATTTTTGCTGAAATTATTGTGCTCTATGTTTCACCTCCTAGAGAGCTTGTGTCTGCATGTTTTCAATTAATAAAAAATAAAAAAAACCACCAAGATATGTTATTTGTCAAGGGAAGCCCAAACATTTGCAGAAAACTGTATCAGTGGTACATATGCATGACTTCAGCGAATATCCATTTTTGAACTGATTAATGAAGGATCAATAAATATTGTTTAAACAGGTACAGGTGCACTTGATTACTATGTAAAGATGGATTCTTAGACCACGTTCACACCGCAAGTCTTAATGCTCGATTCAGATTTTTTGCTCAGATACGATTTTTTGTTTGGCTGTTCATATTACCTTTTAAAATGTGGCCTATATCAGATTCTAGTGTGAACTGTTTGCAGTTTCGAACTGAACCGCATGCACAAAAGAACAATAACAATGACATCAGACGCAGCACGCTGTTGCACTAAAATTAGGGAGGTTATGGAGGAAGTAAGCATTTTCGCTTTTATTTCAAAATGTTTGTGTAATGGCAGCCGTAACATTAATGAGCAGGTGCTGAGGAGGAGAAGAATGAAGAGAAAGAGAGCCAAATTGGCTATTTTGGCCTTTTGCGGGGTTATGGCTGCAAATTACTTATTATTAACTTATTAACTCGCCGGTGCATAATTCTGACAAATGTCGATGTAGATTGACGTAAAAGTCGGATCAAATCTGCCTTGGTTGTTCACACTGCGGCCGCATTGAAAAAAATCAGACCTGGGTCTGATTTAGGACCACATATGGAAGTGGTCTAAATCTGATTTGAAAAAATCTGATCTGGGCAAGATTTGAGTGTTCACACTACTTCTGAAGAAGTCTGACCTGGTCACTTGACCCCCAAAAAATCTGATTTGGGTCACTTTTGCCTGCAGTCTGAACGTGGTCTAAGGGACAACTTTCTGAGCTGTGGGTGAAACTCACTCACAGGACCACCATTAGCTCGGCGCGCTCCAGTACGTTGTTCGCAGTCACGTGATTCCAACGATGCTTGAGATTCAGAATGAGGCAGTGAGAGGCAGAATGGAGGAGATGGAAAGATGAAAGCCCGTACTGCCCCAGTGTGGAAAATCTGGAATTGTTCAATTATGGCTAAAAACCTATTTGTCAGTGTCTGACCAACCCACCCCTCTGCTGAGTTATGGTGCTGAATAATGGATACTAATTGAGTCTTTTATCCAGGACATTATGATGAGACTGTGAAAATGACCTTTGACCTTTTGGATAAACAAAATGTAATCACTTCACATCACGCATCTGTGTGCCATTTTGTAATAATTACTGCATCAGCTCCAATTATGACCAGAAATATGTCGAGCTCATTTTGAGGTCAAAGGTGTGACCAATTCTTGATTTAAAATGTGTTTCGTGATGTCATACCGACTTTGACCACCAAGTTCTAATCTGTTCATCCTCGAGTCCAAGTGGACGTTTGTGGGTGGGCGTTCCTGAGAGACTGTGAAAACATAACGGCTCTGGCCACGGCTGTTAAGGAGGAGGCATGAGAAAGATACTCAGGTTTACACAAAAGAAAGATGGTTTTCTAAAATGATAAGCTGTGATGAAAAGTACACGTGTTGTAGGAAATGGGCTTCGATATCTAACACCACTAGTCTTTAAACATATATTTCATGTCTGTGTGTCAAATACAGAAAGCAAGTTAACATCACTGCTTCACTCAGCACCACTCTGGACTACAGCTCTTCTTGTACCTGTGGAGTGAGTTGTTAGTTTGTGGATGAAAACACAGAAAATCAGAGGAAGATTCCACAGATAAACAACAGAAACCTACCAGGTTGTGTTTTACTCTTTCAACTGCCAGCTAGTGCTTAAAATGACTGGCGGCGGCAGATGATGTTCGGCTGTGTTGGGACTTCACTCTGGGCACTTAAAACTGCAGCGCCGCCTGTTTCTGTCGTTACAGCCGCTTAACACCGTGTGAATCAAGATGGCGGGAAGAAGCTGGCTTGCAGCAATACACAAAAAGTCCTTTATTGTATTTTTTTGTCTTCTCACTTTTTTAATGATGGCAAATTGATTACCTCTTTTTGTACAACAAAAGAACAGCTTTAAATGATTGAAAACCCAAAAAATGCAAACATATCAAATAAAGTCAAAACCAATTCCGGATTCCATTGTTTTGCCTTTTGTCGTTCCATGCCTCCTTCCGTCGTCCTCGTCCGTTCTCAGTTTGGTTTGAACTCGGTAATCTTGGCACAAAGGTGTGTCAGTCCAGTCCAACGCAGCGTTCTGGGTTTCAGTTCAGCTGTTTCTGTCTGGATGGAGGTCGGCTCCTGGCTCCTGGGTCGTGGGTCTGATTCTGGTCCGGGTCCGGTGGGGGTCAGATGCGGGTGAGTTGATGCCAGAGGCTGGATGGCAGGATGCTCTCCACTTTCTCCATGATGAAGTTCAGAGGAGCAAACAGCGTGCTGAGGAACTACAACGAGACAAAAACACAAACAGTCAAGCAAATGTTGATGTGTTTGTTTTAGATAGCCCCAAAAAACATCTTGGCAATGGACATTATGCCAGATGTTGTGATCTTATCTGTAAAACTACACCTGAAATTCCACTAAAAAGACCCAAAACATGTCTACTGTTATTCTTAGAGACTAGTTTATTTCGTCCTATAAACATGCAAACAACGCTGTCCATTTAATCTACAGTTCCACTGTGTGACTGACTGCTGCAGCTCTGTCCTCGAGCACAGAACAGCCTTGTCCTCATGTTGGTGTTTTGGCAACAACCAGCGTAGAGGTGGTGAGGGGGAGGGGGAGTTAAAGGGTGATAGGGGCTCCACCAGAGCAAGGGTAGGTCATAGAGGTTCCCACTCTGTCAGATGGCAGATAAAAGCCATGACAGGGTTTGTGGAGTGAGAGAAAAGTCTCTATCTGTGCCACCCCCCCTCCTCCACCTGCATGTATCTGCCTGGTAGTCGACGTCTGACGTCTGCCTCACACATCGTATCACACATCTATGTTCCAGCTTCAAAGAGCACTTCAAAGTAAAGGTGTGTGTTCCATGTGTTTGTAGTGTGTGGGCAGCAGAGAGAGACCCTCCTGTAATCCAAAAAAGTAGGGACGCACCACCGCGATACGCCAGATCTGTGTCGACACCGACCGTATTTAGTGAATGAGGGTATTTACCATGAAGACCTCATGACCCACTCAATCTGCTGGATGGAGCATGTATAGTGACTGACGTTGCCACTTTAAAAATGTCCATGTTACACACAATGCAGGGAGTGATATACAAACTGATTTCCTCTTATTTTTGATGGATCTGAGATTTGTTCCTATTTCGTTAGCACCCATTGATGTCTGGGATTCACCATGCTATAAAATTTGCCTCAAGCGGACAAACTGATTTGACTGACTCATTTTTAGTAACACCGCAAACACGCCTCACACTAGTTCTATGCATTTTGGATTTTAAATTTGAGAGACACGCTGTATCAGATCGGTGCCTATCAAAAGATAGAAAGTTGGATTGTTTGATCCCTGCAAAAGTCACTGAAATATAAAAATAAATGAATGAAACCTTACTTACAGTGTCAATATACTCAGTTTAGGGTTTCCCAAATTGTTTAGCTGATGTATTACACCACCCAGGATTTGACATATTGTGTCTTGTGATCAATTTAACAACTAATAAGAAATTATGTTGATTATTATCAGGAAACAGTGGGAGGGGAGGGGACAAGGTACAGGACAGGGGGGCACAGAGGTCACCCAGGGGTGGGTTTGGCCTCTAATACCTACAGTGTGAACGTAGTCCAACTTGGAGAGCAGGAGGCCCCTGTGTGTGTGTGTGTGTGTGTGTGTGTGTGTGTGTGTGTGTGTGTGTTTTTGTGTGTGTGTGTGTGTGTGTGTGTGTGTGTGTGTGTGTGTGTGTGTGTGTGTGTGTGTGTGTGTGTGTGTGTGTGTGTGTGTGTGTGTGTGGCTCCCCAGCTCTAAGCAGGTAGATGGTATCTGCTGATAGTGTCACATCAGGGGGGAGAGATGAGCTCAGCCACATTCCAGGTGAGCAGCATAGCGCTGCAGGCTGCAGGGAGGGGCGGGAGAGGTAGCGCCCTCCACTGGCTGCTATGAAGACAGGAGGGGTGGCTGAAAGTAGCTCTGTGTTTAGTACTGAGGCTGTCATATATAACATTTGAACCTCAGCAGGTTCTGTAGAAATGAATTATGGAAACAGCTTCTAACTGTTAATAAATGTCCCGCTCCAGCATGGTTATCCCTTGGTGTGGAGGTGCATGTGTTGTTTCAGAGCATGACACAAGTAAAGTGGGACATAACAGGCTTGTGAAAAGGGTCTAAATGATTTTCAAATATACAGTCTGAGTGAGCTGCAGGACCCCACCAGCTAACCAACCTAAAACATTGCATAGCTTAGCTACACTTGTCGTGTTGTGGTCGAAACACATAAGAAATCATCCTTGTCAAGCACGTTTTGCATTAAAAAAGTAATCTGGTTTTAAGAAAATATATCTAACTTTGTCTTAATAAGATATTACAGCTAACATTGAGCTCAATTTAACCAGTAACAGGTTACAACAATGGTATCCCAGCAGAGGAACAAGATTACCACTTGCACAACTTCTCAGTTTAAGAGAAAGTAGTCTTGTCTCAGTGTTGGAAACAAAGCAGCAGAAAATGAGAACGCTCCTGGTGCCTCAATTTGAGACAATGTCACTTATCTTCATTATGCTGTTTGAAGACATTTTGTCTGATTGTAAGATTTGTTTGCTAATTATTAATCTTAGAGTAAATTGGCCAAAACACTTATTCTAAGAAAGTCTATCTTGAAAAACTGAGTTTTTATTGCTTGTAATAAGCAAAACTTGCTTTTAAGGCCCATTATGGTCTTTCAGTGGGTAGTAGGTTTTAGGAATTCTAGCCAAGCAAAATTGGCTCACCCCGTCTGCAGATTTCTTCGCTCAGAACAAGAAAATGTGATTATATTTGAGAATACTTGGCTTGTTTCTAGAAGGGCTGTTTGTAACGGTTCACTAATGGCCAAGAAGTAAGGATTATTTAAAGACAGGTGAATGTGAGATTGTTCACTGAAACAAACAGATGATTCTGTAGCTGTAGAGCTCAAAACAGAAAGTTTATCTTGGGTGTGGTGGTAGAGGAAAGGTCACAGAGTCATTAAAATCAAATTAGTTTCACCCCTGTGGAGCAAGTTTCATAGCGATCTGCCTGCGTGCAAAACAGACATTTTGACAAGCGGGTGGCACATTAACAAAGGTCTGAGGGTCACAAGATATATTATTCCATCCAGCAGACTTGATGGAAATTAGGCTATTAGCTCTTAGGATCCCTTTTAGTCAACCTAAGTGTAGGTTAAGAGGAAAGTTTCATGCCAGAGAAAAGGTCAAAAATTTTGCTTTGATTGATTTTTTTCTGCCTTATCATGCGGAAAGAAATCAAAGTTCTGTATTTTCTCTTCAGCATAAAACTTTCCAAACAAAGTGTGTGTGTGTGTGTGTGTGTGTGTGTGTGTGTGTGTGTGTGTGTGTGTGTGTGTGTGTGTGTACTCACAGCTTTAGCAAATACTCCCATGAGTTCGGGGAACTGGTGTGTGAGCAGAGCCAGCATGGCGGTGAAGGAGCAGAGACCAGCTGTGAAGAGGATGAAGAAGGGCAGCTCCTTCTTAGGGTAGACTGAGACCTCGTGAAACACTGCTTCCACGTGGGACACGCACGCACGCAAACACACGCACACGCACACACACACACACACACACACACACACACACACACACACACACACACACAGTTACTTTAGAGCAAAACATTTACATCACATACATCTCAAAATGAACTCTGACAGCAGGTTAGTTTGTTTTTTAACTATTTTCCATCATGTTTTTAAGGAAATGTCTCAATTTTCAAAATCTGGACGCAAATACATTTCCTACTTTATAGTGGACTGACCTCCTACCCCTTCAGAGTGACATTTTTTATCCGCTTACCAAAAAAAAAATAACTTTAAAAAGTTTTAAAAAATGATGAAGAATAAAGAACTGAAACTCAAGGCTGTTTAGATGCAACTTTACTGAGAGCCAAACTCTTCCTCTGCTGTGTTTAAAGGAAGACTGAACGCAGCAGCGGGGTCCTATGCCAACAGCATTATCAGGTTACTGATAGCATACAGCTCCATACAGTTCACACTGGGAGATCGCATATGCAAACTTATTTGATATAATTATATCTTTACTGAGGAAAAACCACTACAGCTGTGTTTTGGTACACAGAATCACAATTCACATTACATTTATGAGTTTAATGAGGCTGTTGTATGAATGTCAGTGGAAAAAAAAAATATCTTAAATAAAGTCAGGGTTATGGTTAACAGCAGTAATATGATGTAACATATAGTAAGTATGCATACATCCGCCCAGAGACACACACAGCCAAAGCACATTGTGTTGCTGCCGGTGGCTGGAAGCCAACTTAATCAAGCGAAGGTTTGTGTGTGAAGACAGACGAGCTGCTGAGCAGACAGCAGGACGGCACACACTCCACATCAGCCCACAATCATCCACACAAATACACACACCAGTGCGCAGTGCTCCGTTAAGGAATTTGTCTCATCATCATATTTATTAATGACAAATTTAACCGCTCAATGTTTGTGCCAGGCGTTAAAATTAGCATAATTATTCTAAATGAAAACACCAAATCTACATCATCCTCATAAATGTGGACAAATCACACATCCCCACCCCCCAATAAAATGGTCAAATCAGACGCCCAGTGTGCAGCTTCTACTACAAACCAACAACTTGAAGAAGAAAAGAACCCCTCAAAGGACAAATGATGCTGCTTTGATTGATTTTATTAACAGAACAGTATTACCCACTTTTTTAACTTTTAGCCAAAGAGGAAGACAATAAAACTGATGAAAGCAATAAAGAATCTTTAGTGCACTTTTTAACTGACAGATTCAGACCATATTTTTTACCCTGTACTATATAAATGCACATTGCATGCGTGTATAAACTTGTGTGTCAGGGCGTCTCTTACTGGGTAGCAGCTCTCTGTCGGCCGTCTCTGTGCAGATGGGGTAGGGGTAGAAGAGGTGACCCTTCTCCAGAGGATATGGGATCATTCTGAATGCTACAAACAAAAAAAAACACAGAGTGTTGATTTCAACAAAAGGTCCAGACAGTTGCCTACTTACTTAATAATGAACAGTGAATGTTTCCATGTTGGTAGTCAAGACTCAATTCACAGTATTTCCCTTTGGAATGAAACCCCTTATGAGATATCAAATGGCCAAAAGAGTGTGTGTGGGCCTGTCCTTATTTTAACTGTGTGTGTGTGTGTGTGTGTGTGTGTGTGTGTGTGTGTGTGTGTGTGTGTGTGTGTGTGTGTGAGAGAGAGAGAGAGAGAGAATGTACTCACTGCCCTCCCAGGTGCAGTGCAGGAGGTTGAGCGCCCCCTCTACCCTTTTCCAGTGCTGCAGGTGGAAGAAGGCGTAGGCGATGGCCTCGCTGTCTCCTCTCTTCAGGATGTGTTCTGGAGGAAGAATCAGACTCTTCATCTCCAGCAGATACTGAAGGGGAGCAGAAAGGAAACAAAGACAGATAATGAACAGGAATGGCCAAACAGAAAAATAACCCAACCTCAACATGATTAAACCAGCACTGTTTCCACAGCAGCAGTCTTTGAGACACTTAAATCTGACTTGAGCTCATAATCTGTAAACTTTAACACATACACATATTTACTTCTATTATCATTATTGATACAACAGTATTACAAGTCTGAGTTTGCTAACAACGTGCTTTGCTTTGCCCTCAAGGTAGATTTCTTTCATCAGCTCAGTTTTATTGCGTATTTAAGTTTTACAGTCCAACAGACTTCACTATTTCTCCATCAGTGCTGAACATTCAAAAGAAAATGCATCTAAGAATAGATCATTTCTCTCACCATTAAACTAAAGCCAACACGTGCATGAGCAAACTCTAGCTTCTCACATATGTGTCCATATTGCTGTATAATCTGTGAAGTATCAAGAAATTACAGTACAGAAATGAAACCGTGTCCCTGTTTTTGGTGAGCATGTGATCACAGTAAGACCTCAGCGTGTGTGTACGTAGTGTTGCATGTACTGAGTCTCACTTTGGGGACATGGGGGTTGAACTCCACCGCTCTGTGGATGGCTTCTACTGCGTTCATCTCTGCTGTGCTCAGCCCTCGTCTGGATGCTGCTTCTGGAGAGAATCTGCCCACACACCCACACACACACACACACACACACACACACACACACACCCACACACACACACAAGACACACAAGACACACACAAACACTAGTCAGTAATCTGACTTTGGATTGCACATCACTGTATGATCAAAGTAAATTTGAAAATGACTCCCATGGTGCCAAGGCTGCTCACTAACTAGCTGCTCTGTGTAAGAACTTAAACACATAAATCCCAAACATTTAAAAGCATCTTTATCAAGAAAAAAGGATGAACTGAGGGTTTTGAGGACACTTGGATTAACATACAAGTGAGCGCCAGAGCAAGAGAGAATACTACAGAAAACCACTAATAGATGCTTTATTTGTTTCAGTGTATTAGTCATTTAAGATAATGTATTTAATTAAAAAGGGATATACAGTCGGATCACTTTCAACACTAAAAAGGGGCAAAAAACAAAATAGGAAAAAACAATAAGGTGATAAACAGCAAATGTGAATACTCTGTGGTTGCACATACATGTATGTGTGTAGGTTTGTATAAATGAGTACATAGGTACTAACAAAACTGTCTATCTCTCTGGTTGTATCAGTACACCAGCAGGCTGTATTATATGTATGTTTTACAGTCATTAATAACCGTGTACCTCTGGCGAGACAGAATCACTCACTTTTCACAATAACACTGATCAACCCTCAAGGCAACCCTGCACCAAAGAACACAATTACTGTCACTACACCACTGATCAGCCTTATTCTCTGGTTCACGCCAACCAGGTCCCCGGGACATTTTTGGCTCCATTTTAAACACTTAAATAGCAGAGCAGGTATGTTGAGCCCCTGTATGAGCATTGTAGCCGGTGAAAAGCAATACTCACTTGTCTGATACCGCCCTGGCTTTGAGCAAGGCTGCTGTGTAGCATATTGTTGCAGATTTAGGTAAGCTGATATCTGTGGAGGAGACACAAAGCAGACACGGACACAGAAGGGAGGGGGGTGTTTAGTGAACATACCAGAAGTTTGGAATTACAGGTGGTAGGTTGGGGAGGTGGGGGGGCACTGAAGCCACCCAGAGGGGTTTGTGAATGACAATAATGAGCTTGGATTTCAAGACTTTGGAGGCGTTTTGTTATTAAGTCTTATATATTCTCCAGAGAAATAAGACGAATAACTGAAGAGATGGTGTAACTGTTTGTGTGTTTCAACAACACTGTATTGTATGTCTACATGTAGGTTTGCATGAGGGCCGCAACTAGCCATTATATTTTTTACTCAATGAATCTGCCCGTTCTTCATTGTTTGGTCTATAAAATGTCAGAACTTTTTTTTTTTACAACCAGCCGTACAAAACCACTCGGATCAAATTTACTATCACAGAGAAAAGCAGCACATCCTCCCAAATGAGACGCTGAAATGAGGAACGTTTTGGCATTTAAGCTCAAAAAAGTAACTGATTAGTGAAAATAGTTTCTGATTAATTTCCTGCCGATTGACTAATCGATTAATCCGCTAATTGTTTCAGCTCTAGTTGGTGACAGTGTCTATTGTTCTTCCTACATCATGCATGCCTGTGTATTTTTCACAGAGATTTACAAAGTAAATCCAGGACATTTCAAGAGATTTTATGCTAAACTGAGTGGAATTTAATTAATGCTTATAAAATTAGTTTAATTACATTTCAAAAACAACATTTGCTCCAGTACAGGTCTGCATGATTACTTTAATTTCTAAACTAAAAAAACTTAAGCAGTGTACCATAAAATGGGAAAGTACTAATGAACCTTTGAGGCCCTGGATATACAGTCACTGATCAAATAGACTAAACTAAATTTCTGATTTCTGTCTTACTTGTTGAACACATAAGTTATAATGTCACACAAATGTAAATATTTCCATCTGTCAATAAAAAAAAAAAAATATATATATTTATATTTATATAAATATATATATATATATATTTATATTTATATAAATATATATATATATATATAATATATATATATTTTTTTTTTTTTTTTTTTTTAGATCTAGAGTCTAGAGGACAGAATTACTGAAATTCCTCAGGAAAAAAGGATAATAACTTTGTTGTAATAAACACTACAGACTGGCAAAAACTGTGTCTGTGTGTGTGTGCATGTGTGTGTGCGTGTGTGTGTGTGTCTGTCTCACCGTCATACTTGGCCAGAACGGCCTGGACGTCGGCGTAGTTCTGGAGCTCTAGTAGCGACTCCAGCAGGTTCTCATGGATGTTGAACATACTGAGGAGAGGGAACTCCTTCATTAACTGGAAAACACACAACTGTTGTTACATGTAATACCGGACACGGGGTGACACATGCACAGTCAGCAGACAAGAGCTTTGGGTCATCTACGATATCACTATGCAGTTATAATGTGAAATCTGAGTAAATGTTGAAAATTAAAACTTTCATGTGGCGTTGTGTGATTTTTCTAACCCTCATAATTAAACTAAAGCCTTTTTAACTACAGAATATCATCAATATCATATTCATTTCTTCTCAGTCCTGTTTGTGCGTCTTTGTGTGTGTGTGTGTGTGTGTGTGTGTGTGTGTGTGTGTGTGTGTGTGTGTGTGTGGGGGGGGGTTTTTCTACTTACATCTCTCATCATTTTTACTGCTTCTCGTGTTCGGCCAAGCTTTCTGGAGCACATGGCCAGTCTTCTCTTTATGTATACCAATACATTGGTGTCTCTTCCTGGTGGAGACAAGCAAACACATAATGCCTTTTATTGTCCATTTTCTACCGGCAGCAGTTAACATGTCTGAAATTTTTGTTACATTTACAAAATATTAAAGAATCAACTCTACTGATGCAATCTGATATTTTAAAAAGACTTATTGGCTCAAGAGGTGTGATATAGCCAGAAGAAAAGAACATATTATTTTAATTATTAGCAGCATACTGAAGATTATACTCACTGTGTTGGGCTTCATACTGTGTACCGTGATGCTGGAGCTGTTGGCTGCGGCGATAGCAGCTCTCTCCAGCTTTTAGCGCTTGTTTAAACAAACGTTCAGCCTCCATGATGGTTGTTGCTTCTTCCTCTGCCAGCAGGATGTATGCTGTCGCACAACTAGAGGAGGAAAAGCAGAGGAGGAAAAGCAGAGGAGAGGACCAGGATCTATTAACCAGGAAATTACAAACGGTAACTAAAGTAATGAATCCATAAGGACAGTATAACTGTCCTTATGGATTCATTACTTTACAAACTCAATATACAGTAGTGATGTGTGAATTGCAGTAAGCTGTAAGCATTGTGGTACAGGTCTCTACATCAGAGAAAATGATATGTTTTGGTGGGTGGATGATTTATGCATACATGAGGTTTTGTACGAACTCAAAAGAAGATCTGCGCATCACTAATACACCGGGTGCCATGTTTGCATCTCTGTGCTATAAAACAGGTTTTACGCCTCATGTATTTGTAAGCAGCATCTGACAGATCACTGATCAAAGAAGTTTTCCTCAAAGTCAACCTGCTGTCATGGCCTTGATACGAGCTGAGAGCAATAAAGCGGGTACAACCTTGCCACAATTCCTCTGCACTGCCTTTGTAGTCACAGATGTTCCTAAAAATAAACCTTCACTGCCATGAAAATAAGTAGAGTTGTCCTCCCCCGTGAATGATGTAGGTACCCAGAGGCCCAATCTGTGATGAGATGCATCATCCCTCCCACCAACAATACCTGCAGTTTCTAATGTATGAATTTATTCCACTGTATTGATCTGCAAGAAACAGCGTTCATTATTATTTGGCATAAAATCAAGGTTTTTAGCGAATATTTTTAATTTTATAGTTTAAAATAAGGATTTGAAAAACATACAAAACGCAAATGCAAACATATGTTTGGTGTTACAGTAAGTAGGTGGTAAACAAATATCTAATTTTAGAACATTACAGTAACATTATTCAAAAATGATGTGTGAGTCTTGAACGGTATATTGGTACGGCAACAAAAATCAACTAATTATTAACAGTATAAAAAGCGCTTGCTTTTTTTCTGACTTTTCTCTGTGTTTTTGATTTTTTTCTTGTAAAATAGTGGATACTTTTACCTCTCCTGAGAAGGAAAAGATCAGTTGTTGAATAAACTGCTTGCTTGAATTTAAGGGGTCAAAACAAGAAACACCATGCAAAGGAAGTTGAGATTTCATTGCATCTTTAACATTAGATCAGAGTGTCAATGATTGGTGTACCATCCCTCCATGCTTTGTCAAAACTGCACCAGATGTGAAGCAATGAGATGCCAGTCTGATGGAAGCAGCTTGTGACCTAAAGATGACCTGGTCTGAGATACCCAGCAGAGAAAATCTGGATTAAGTGGGAAAAAAACTGCTGATTGCCCTTGAACGAGTTCCAGTTAAAACACACCGCTCCATTGCTGGTCAGTGATATATGAATATATCGGACTTCATGAATTTAAAGCAGGTCGCAGGTAGGAAATGAGAACAAAAATCATCTGTGTTTTCATGATAAAAGTTTTAACAAGAAAATTAAATATTGACGGGGCATTTTCAACCATTTTGACAAGAATCATATTTTCGAGGTTTCTGAGTGAACGTGTCATATGCTCCAATAACTGCCTGATTTTTTTTACTGGGTATCACCATTATGATTAATTATCACTTTCATTATTTATTTATAACACAGATCATTTGACAGACACGTTTATTAGGGCCCGAGCAGTGACCACTGTGAAGGCCCTGTAGTAATGCAATTAATGCATGTTTTTCTACCAAAGTAATCAAATTTTTGAGGTGATAATAAACATGCTAGTGTCAGTTTCTCATGCCTGGGTGTGGAAAAATAGCTCAATAGCGCCTCCTAAAGAGCACTCCAGCATGTTTCACTGATCTGTCCAGAAGGACAAGAAAGCTTTAATTGTTATTGTAACTTTTTTTAAATTACACATCTAACTTCTTGTCTTAAAGGAGAGAGTTGAAAAAAAAAAATATATATATATGAGTGAAAATAAAAGTCAACTCACTCTTCGAGCTCCAGAGCTTCATGTGCTGCAGAGATGCGAGCCTGTGGGTTCCTCTCTCTCCATGCCTTCTGCATAACTGCCACCAAACAAACACACACAAATAAACATATTTAAGATGTCAGACGTCATCTGGGCGCACACATCAAGATGAATTCAGCGTATATGCATGAGTGTGCGTTTGCTTACTGGCGTCGGCAGGCCGGAGATGGTCTGAGTCGCAGGTAAAGAAGGTCTGGTGGTCTTGTGCTGACAGGTTCATGTCATAGTATGTCAGCGGCTCTCGACCCGTTACCCACGTATACCTGAACACCACCACAGAGACACATTCATGATTAGCAACTGGCTAACAGTTCAAACACACGTTGATATAAAGAATTGTGGAAGAACGAAAGAGCTCATAGACTTGGTCAGACAATAATAAGATGTTAGATGTTCAGATAACTGTAAACAAGTCATGGGCTATGCTGACTTTATGGGAATTGTACTCGACTGAGAAGTTAGGAGCTGGAGCTCAGCATGTGGGTTGATAGGCAGAGAAAGTAACAGAATAATTACAACTTGAGAAATGGAAAAGTGGAGGATGACTCAATGGGAGGAACAGCAGACAGGCACGTCAAAAAGAGAATAAAGGAGGAATGACAGAAAATAGAAAGTGATGAATAGAAAACAAAAAAGGAGGAGGAAGGAGCAATAAGGAATGAAACACATGGTCAAAGGAGAAAATAAAAGAAACATGAAGAAATAGAGGAGAAAAAATAAATTTAGTTCAGATCTTTATTGTCCCACGATGGGAAATTAGAGAAGATTTAGAGTAAAGACACGAACACAGCATACAAGGGGACCAGTTACAGCAAACAGCATCTGCTCGTTTAAAGTACCAAACCGTTGCCAACCATCGACTGTAACTGAGGATAAAACGGCAAACAGATGACAGGACGCAGGGTAAAAAAAAAAGAGAAGGAAAATAAATAGTATCTCAACCACAAACAAGACAAAAAAGAAGACAGGAGAGTGAACGTGAAACCGATTAGGAAAAGAAACTAAACAGAAGAAATATAGATCAGAGGAGGTGGGGCTGGGGCTGGGGGTATTCCTGGAGGGAGACTGAAGCTCCTAGGCCAGCAGAGGGTTTTCAGATGCAGGTATCTTAGCTGCTGTCACTCACCGATTATATTCTGCTCCACGAAATAAATTCAGCGGATTTCTCCATACTTTACATTCTGCAGGAGGGAGACAGAGACAGAGAGAGAGGGAGAGAGAGAGAGAGAGAGACAGACAGACAGACCGAGAGAGAGAGAGAGAGAGAGACACAGAGAGAGAGCAACAGTGGCGATGAGTGTCAAGGGTAAAGTAGATACTGAGCCTCCTCGGCTCACTTCAAAGGGCTCCACTGTGCATTCTGCCATCCACCCAGCAGCTCTCTGACTGGCACATCGACCTCTTTGAGAGCACGGCTGACAGTAAAAAGGCCTTCAAACTCCTCAGTGACCAAACATGCTTCTACACAAACAAAAACATAACGATTTGTATTTTCAGGTGATTATACACAGATGAAAACATACGTATGAATATAATAATATTCCATTTCTGCCAGTAGATCCTCCTACATGTTACACACTGGACCTTTATATCAAACCACAGTCATGCCTAAATTCAAACCAAGGATACACATATTTGACTCTTCAAAGAGTAGAAAAGCCCCATAAAACACTATCAGAGGAAATAAAAAAGCTACCAATAAAACATGAAGACATGTGGAATCACGTTAGAATTAATTCAGCTCCACACACCTACTGAATTCATGCTGTATGATATTCTTTCATTTCAACTGCTGACCTATGACTAATCAATCAAGTGACTTCACTTGAACTGTCTGTCTTAGACTTCTGCTGTAACAAAGAAAAAATAATGTTACACCCTGCAACTCTGATTTCAATGGAGGGATTTACACAGAGTAGATTATTAGCCAGAAAACTGGGGATTAGTACAGTAGAAATAATTAGACTGCCTTTCTTCTCTCAATCACGGCTTGTTGATTTAATACAGCACACATAATCCTATTTAATTCAAAGTTGCTTGGCTGAAAACAAAAGCAGGCTGTGTCATGCCTCCACAAGGAGTTCAACAACAGGATCTTTTGAAAAAAACTGGGAGAATACAGTGATGAGGAGAGGTTAGTTTCCATTTCAACTTTTCACTGTGGCTTGCGCGTAACTCAGCTTACACAGTTTCTTAACTACATAAAAACACTGCGGTAAAAAAGAAAGCTGAGTCATTTAATGTATGCTGCATTATGGATGCATATGTAGAATAAATGTTTTACTTTATCATCCGCAATGGAACCAAAGGATGCAGCATGAAGACATTTCCTCTATTGAAGTGAAGGAATTTCCATGGGGGGCCAAATACACATGCAGAAGGATTAACTATGATCAAAGCGTCACTGATTTAGAACGCAAGCCAAGAAGCTGCTAAGCGGAGCTCACAGAGTGACTGTGGAGGATATTGTTGGACAGACGTGAATTTAATCCATCTCCTCTACTGCAGTTCAACAAGTACACTGTCAGGGTTGGGGGTTTGATTCCCTGTGTAACTCAGTAGGCTGAATATGGCACTTAGGGTCTCTTCCTGAAACATACTTTAAGCAGAACATAACGATGTTTCTTTATTTGATTGTACTGTATTTGCACATGGGTGGAAACAGCTTCAGGTTAGATACTAAAACTTATTCATTATCAAACAGTTATCACAGAATCTTTGCTTTAGCACATTTTGTTGATCCAAAAAACCCTATTTAAAAGTATGCACTTACGCTATTGTACAGGCGGTGTACAACTGTATCAGTGCTTGGGAATATATACAGTACACCTGCTGTACAGATAAAACATGTGTCTACAAAAGAAAATATTACAGCAATAAACTTCACAAATGTAATGTTTGTAAGGTTGTATGTTAGTAAATAGTGAATAGTTTTAATTTGTCAATCTGAAGCAGCAGAGAAACTGATGCGCTATCTAGAGACAATTCTGTATTGCGACTCTTAGACCAGTGTGACAGCACTCAATGAAAGATATCTTCAGATTCACAGCTGGAAGCAATACATTCAAGCAAAACTCATCCTGATGAGCGTCTGAAATAAACCTCTAATTCTCTGATTAAGTGTAAATGCACCAACTCCAGAAAATGTCACAGGATGACGTCATCAACTCAATTATCGCAATATTGCTTTTTAGTGTTAATAGCAGTCTGTATCTGTAGCACCACAATTAATTTCATAGAAATTAAAAAAAAAAGTGTGGAAGGGTCTTCCAAAACTATACATTAAAAAATCCACGCTTTCATTGCCGTCAGCAGGCCAGTGGGATTCGTGTTGGTAGAGCTGAAAAATTACTTTGACATTTTACAACATTTTGGCTGTTTAGCTCTCCTTTTGGAAGTTAACACAGCAGAACCAAACTAAAGGGCTCTGTATTACTGCAACAGTGACCTGGAAAGGAATGAGATCTAGAGTGGAAAAGCTGAAGTGAGCCAGCACTCTGCGCCAGTTAAATAAATAGATGGTGATGATGATGATGACCATCATAAGACCCATTACAGAGGATTAACATTTAAGGCTCTTGTTTTTGTGTGTTTCTCATTTTATTGTTGTTTGATTTGAGAAACTGTAAAAAAGGGCAAAACTCCCTATCCATATTCCTGTTATCATGGCGACTTTGTTATCACCTGGTCCCTCACATGTTGGTTTTAATTTATATTAACATTAATATTATAAAATTCACGTTGAAAAAAGGACATCTTTCTTTTGGATGCATACGCCCTCTAAGGCACCCTCTATGGATATACCATCTGTAAGCTCTTACCGGACACACTTTGTCGATTGGAATCGGCCTCTCCATTACTGGTGTTGGAGTTGCTAGGGGAGCTGCTGTCCACTCCGCCCAGCAGGGGGCGCAGGTGGCTCACAGACACCTGCTCTATGAAAGAGGTCCCATATTTCCTGAAATACCACCACTCAAATATCTGAGAGAGAGAGAGAGAGAGAGAGAGAGAGAGAGAGAGAGAGAGAGAGAGAGAGAGAGAGAGAGAGAGAGAGAGAGAGAGAGAGGGAGAAAGAGTGAGAAAGAGAATCTTTAACTGATCACATGACTTTCATTCAATGAAGACTCCACAGGGTTGTTTGAGTTAGGTTTCTCTTTTGTTCATCTTCTCTCATTCTTTACAAATCTAAGTCCACTAAACATAGTGGCAGTAAACCTAAAAGATTCAGCCACATCATTCAGATGAAACAGGATGTACATATAAAGACTCATTCTAAGAACTACTGGCTAGAGCTGAGAAAAATAACATGTCAGCTAAACAGCTTTAGTTGTGCTTAACTAGTGGCTATTCCCCATCTGCTTTCACCAAATACTTATTCATTTTAATCAGACTGTTGACTAAGCTACTCCAGTGACTAACAGCGTCTGTGTCAGTGGGTCTCAGCCTTGTGCCACAAAGTGCTTCTCCTGAATTTTGCCAATTACCACCTTCAGCTAGAGAGCAGGAACTAATCAGTGGAACCTGCTGTTTGGTTGGACTGGGAAAGTGCAGACTGCGGGGTCACGATGACACACGTCCAAGACCCACTCATGGCAGAGTGAGTTGTCCATTAATCTGTTAGTGTCCCTGAGTAAGACACAGAACCCAGACTGCTTCCAATGTGCAGGCCAGCGCCTCGCACAGCAGCTCCACTGTCATCAGTAGTTTAGGAGAATGAGAGGCACTCATACACTCACAGACCATAAGTGTTGTCAGTTTACCTTTATGTTGGGCCCCTGTACTGGGGTTGAGCGTCACTATCCTTTAAGCATTTGCCAAACAAATCTGTATACACTAGTTTCAAACACATCTGCCCTGTCTACTTCCTCAAAATACAACTGTTTCAATAATAGTAAAGGTTTCTGGGAGCTGTGGAGCTGCACAAATACATACTGAATATGAAGAAATACTCTCCATATCTTTAACAATTACCATCAAAAGGCTTTTTAGCAAGGCACACCCAGCTGTAGAAGACTGTGACTAGGAATAATGTTGCTCAAAGAGTACAGGACAAAAAGACAAAGTAATGGTTTAAAATGACACTAATTTAAAAACCATTGATGGTTTTAATGACTGAATGTGAGACAAACATTCAGAACACTGATGTGGAGCTGCAGTATTTGAGTGTACAGACTGGCAAAGCTGTTATACTGTCGGCATCTGATGAGGAAGTGATAACAAATTCTGATGTGGTTTATCTAAAACTCTGCAGTGGAAATCTACCTCAGTGGGACATCAACATATATTCCAATTATAAAGAAATCACCAGTATCTCTTTACAAAACCAACTGGTCTCCACATTTCTGAAAATCATCTGGAAATGTGGCTTGAAATAGTAAAAATGCATGTATAAGTTGAGCGTCTCAATTAGCATAAACAAAAATCTGAGTGAAAATAAACACTAACAATTAGAAATCAATCTGCAGTTTAGAGAAAATGTTCATAATGTTTGTGATTAATGTGCTCAATTCAAACCCAATATCAGGAACATTTACAAAACCTTAAATGACAATATTTCAAATTTGTATTGAAACTAATTTCTAATATTTTTGGATGCTTACTATTGTGTACATAAGACCCTATAATACATAGTTGGAAGGCTATTGTGGATTTGGGTTTCCAGCGGCTTTAATCATCTCACAGAGCATGTGCAAAGCTCAACAGCTTTTCTATGCAGCCTACACATATTGGCCAATAGCCCGCAGGGAGGAGAGAGAGTGAGTTAATTAAGAGAGGAGCTATTTTAATACAGACCAAACACTGTTGCACAGTTGGCTGTCTCTGTGAAGAACTTGAAAGAGAGATAAAACACCTGCATAAGTAGGATAGCCTTTCCAACAGTTCCATTATATTCCTACCCTGCTTTGATGATGATGTTTGTCACATCTTTATTTATTCTATTTTATTAATACTGACATAAGCAGGAAGGACACTCCTTGCAAAGCTGTAGATTGAGGGATAGTTAGCAACCAAACCCACATTTTAGAAATTCAGTAAACCCAAACATTTTTGCTCTGTTTGCCTTTTCTAGAGGAGCCAGCGACTGGAACCGCTAGTCACCAGTTAGGTGCTAGAATCATATTAGCATTGTGAGTGTTTAACCCACAGAGATGGAGAGCTCTAGCTATCTTTATCCATACCCCACACAAAAACACCTCAAAATGTGTTCTCAGTACTTTAAAAAGCAGTAAAAACATTGAAAGTGTGGGGTGTGATGAGTCAGGGAGACACACAGTAACGGTGCCGGAGGCTGCCATATCTTTGCAGCTGATCTTATGAAGGACCAAATGAGTATAGATTTCCTCTCTCTTCAGCTCCTCGTGGCCTCTGAACCTGTGATTATAGTCCTAACAAATTACATCCTGGGCTCATAAAAGGCACCTCGGGAGCAACCTCTGAAAATGTATTTTGTCTTTTTAACATTAGGAATGAGAATGTCAAGTAAGTGGTGCAACGTCGTCAACCTTAAAGTGTGACTTTTACATTTAGAACAACGTGCAAGTAGAGTGTAGGTAACAGCAGGATGCTTAAGTACTCTAGTTGTTAACCAAGAGTCTCACACACACAGTGTTTTAGAAGTGTACAGTGAATTGAAGAGTAATTTTCAACAAGTGATATCGGTATAATTACTAACATCATCAACTTCAGTATTATCAGGTGAAAATTGAAAGTGTTTCTTACCAATATGAGTCCTGATATGAGGGAGGAAGTGCCTGTCAGAGCCACATAAAACTTGGGCGTCAAGGTGTTGAGAAACATGCTTACTGTAGAGAAGACATAAAAAGAAGAGAGACAAGTAGGTTACGGCTTAGTACTACACCAGAAAATCTCTTCTACACCAAAAGAGGATACTTTTAAAAAAGGTATTTGTAGAATCAAATGATTTATGTCTAAGCTAGGTTTTTTCTCCTGAAACTAGGTCACACCGTCACAGAAGAGAAAAACATCAAAAAGATTCAAGGACATTTGTGATTTCAAGACATGAAAGCTTTCATGCTAAAAGAAAATTCATCCACATGCAGGACTTGGCATATCCCAGAGATCCCTGCTGCTGAGACATGAAGTTATACCGGGGGGAGCAGGGTAAGCCTCACTACGGACTGAAGTAGAGCTGCCCGAGGTATACCGGTTTTAATTTCTCATATAATATGATCTTTTAAATATACCAATATACTGCTGCATAGCTGCAACAGCTACAGTGACTGGCAGCAGTGTTGTTTTTGCAGTGAAGAGCCCTACAGTCAGGGCAAGCTGTGTAGCATGGATTGAGAGGGGTACCCTTCTTACTAACGCACACACCAACTTGTGACAATTTGCTTCTTGCTTATACAATAGAACATATGAGCTATATATCTAGGAATACTCTTTGAAGTATTTTATGTCATTTTAAAGTATTTTGTTTTGAAAAGGAAGCGATGTCAAAGTTAAGAACATTAAAATGCTTTTATATTTTATGTACTCCTAACAGTAGAATAACCCACTATAAACCTATGTTTAAAATGCAGTGAAGTATTATAGGTTTAACTTAACAAAACAAGAACTATACAAATCTCTAATGCCATAAGAGCTCACATCACTCATTACCCTTCAATCACCTGACAGCAAAGTCAGGTTTCTGTACCATTTATTTCCTAGTGCCAGTTATATCAGATGCTGCCAACTGGAAAATTATAAGTCAATGATCCGTATCAATTCAAGCCTTACAGCATATAGTTGGTTCATGTGCCTCTGAAAAACCAGCCACCACCATTTATTATGATAAATTTTGGCCATAGTTGGAATATATTTCTATTCTACTAGCAGTGCTAGGAGCTAAATTTATAGTTTATGAAGCAGATCATTTGGCAGTTTTCCTCCGCTTCTTCTGAACTCACTGACGCAAGTTAGTTCCCCCTCCTCCTTGGAAGGAATGAGTGCGACTACTGTGTTTTAGCTGTAATACTAGTGATATTATTATACTTGCAGGATGAAACAAAAACAGTGTCACGGAGTCCTCCTCCGCCATCTGTTTTCAATTTGTGTTCTCAATTTCGCAAACATCACAGAGAAAAAACAATCACTGATTATAAAAGTGGCAGATAATATTTGGAGCTGTGACCTTTCCATTCATCATTTGCAAACTGTTTAAAAAATAACAACACTGCAGCGTTTTTGTTGGATTATGATATTGGAGGTTTGCTTTTATGTCTCAACACTGCTCAAGGTAAGCTGGTCGTGGTAGGCCGGATGCAGGTAAGGGTGTGATGACTGTCTGAAGGGAACAAGTGCCGTTTATGAGACTAAGAAGACATAAGAGGGACACCATATAAATAATCTGTCTAATCTATAAATAATGATCTGTTTAAATGACCGTTAATTGATAACTGACATGTAAAATTCCTCAAACAAATCCTAACATCTATGACAACAAACCCGGAGGCTTCAGAGGTGTGAGTGAAATAGTTAAAGTGTTAAAACCGGTCTTCTTTCTAGTATGATTGATCTGTGTAGTATGTGTGTAGCCAGCTCAGTCACTAGATCCTCAAATGTCAGCAGTGGAGGTGGCGAGTAAAATGTCATGATAGCCGGACTGGCAGCCAATAGCATGAAAATATAACACAGGTTATAAAGGGAAAAATAAAGTTCCTTTACTAATAATAATAATAATAATAATAATAATAATAATAATAATAATGTAGGACTGTCCCCTCCTATATTTGGCTAATGGTTCTCCTATAGCTGTAGCAAACGATGCCAGACTGATAGACCACTGCCTTCGTGTGGGGGGTTGTCATGTTAATTCCCTAAGAGTGACACGGAGGATAGTGAGGGTGAGACAAAGACCCCACTCATATGAACCCCAGCCTCATACCCACACATGCATAAACTAAGTGCAGCTGGCCAGCTATTCATTGCTGTGAAGTGCAGGCTCTCGTCCAAACAGAAAAGGGTCTTTCAGATTGGCCTGTGGTCAAATAGGCCTGACAGCTGCTGTCAAGCTGCACCGATGAGAGGATACTGCTGCCGGGCTGGCAATGGACTCTGTCTCATCGTTGTCGAGCCAAGCATTTTTGACATAATTGACATAAGGTCTACCACATAAAACAATACAGCGGGGTGTGCATAATCCAGTCACAGATTTAATTTCCAAAACAATTAAAGCTTAAAATGCATCAAACTGTTGATGTCACTTAATCAAAAATGCTTTTCTCTGTTGTTATGTATCATTTTAAATTGAATACCTTGGGGATAATAACTTAGGCTCAGACAAAACTGAAGACATAGGGTCCTGGAAACATGGGCATTTTCCCCCTTCTGGAGACATTTTACAGACTAAACAAAAAACTAAAAAATGATCAACTAATGAATTCATAATTAAAACCATCTTTAGTTGCAGCTACTATTTAATGTCTTTGGGCAAGATGCCTTTAGTAGGATTGCATGATTAGAAAACATATCCTTTCTTAACTGGATGTTAGGAATCAGGAATCAAGCTCCACAGACAAATCATTCATCCTCCTTCTGTAATTTAATTACCTAGTCCTCAGGAAAAAGGTTCTAGCAGGAAATTCCCATTTAGAGATCAACTCAGTACTAGACTGAATTAAACTAAACTGGAATCAAGCCTTTAATGTCACACAATGAACTTTAGAATCAGAATGAGAAGTCTGAAATAAGATGCTCAGGTGTCATGGCGATGGAGTCTCTTTAATTGGACTGTCTAGGAATTGTTGTTTTTAGACACAATTTTACTGAACTTTGTGATAATAGACAAATGATGAACTGGAAAATGACATAAAAAAAGATTCCACAAAGGCTTCTTCTGGCTTCTTGCCCCCATACTTGAGCCCTGTTCGGTCACTGAGACTGAATATTCCTGTTCCCTCCTTGTGTGCATGGAATAAAGCAATCATGAATCGAGCCTGGAAAAAAAAAAAAAGACTAAATGCTATCAGTTCACCTTTGAACACTTAAACTACGGAGGAGGATAGGGAACTGTTCAAGACATTTCTCAGCAAATGTGGCTTTTGTGTCAGGACACTGATCGCGGCTCGCCCGGCTCAAGTCCACTCCGTTTCAACCATCATTGATTCTGCACAACAAAGGTCTGAAGAAGAATATCCTCACATTCATTTAGCTCCACACCAGCAACAACTGCGCAACAGGGGTCGAGTGCCTTGCTAAAGGGTGTCTCGTTGATCTAACTAAAGGCCCACTGCTTCAAACAGAGACTGTGTCCATGTGTGCTGTTGTCACTGAGGAAGTGTCAGTTTCTGCTCAGTCAGACCTAGTCCCTAAGATGTGCTGTCTGACTACATCTGAAATCAAAGGTGTTTATAGTTGTTCCGACCGGCCACATTCAAAAGGAAAGTGAAAAGTCGGCTGTCACAGAGAGGGGTGAAATGTAATATTTCTTAGATATGGGGATAACGCTACACACTTTCAGACAGTCTCTGCTACAAGGCATTCATAGTGATGCACTGGGTTGTTTGCATGAAAAGTGACAAAAATAGTTGAAAATGAAAAAGAGAGCTAGAGCGAGAAAAGTTTGGAGCTTTTAATCAATATAATACCAGAAAATAGTAAAAAAGAAAAAGAAAGAAAAAAATACCCATCACACCTGCCAAGAGCCTCAGGTTAACTTCTTCATATGTTGCTCTCATACAAAATCCAAAAAGGATCCAAATATAAAGAAAAGTATCAAATCAAGCAAACCAATTTTTTAAGATGTTTTAAAAAAAACAAACATAAAAAACAGTGAATTTACTGGCAGTCACTTGATTCGACTTCATTTTATTAACCAATTGCTTTAGCACTGGCCTCGTGGATGTACAACAGCAATTTTTTTTTTTTTTTAAATAGGATGAGATTATTTCTCATTCACACATTTGCATTGCTAGACAATTATTCAAACTGGTGACCCCGTTTATGCCACCAGTTCACTTCTCTGCCTGTTTGGCTGATACCACTCCTGTGAGTTTGTATTGGTAAGGAGGCAGCCAGAGAGCATGTTGGGAGGATAACGTGATGAATCGAAGGGACAAATTCTAACAGACAGACTCAGGACTAAATGTCACCGGAGACAACAAGAGATGTGACCTTTACTGAAGAGGGGACGGTTGGCAGACTGCTGGCATGCCCGGAATGATAAAAGACGCACGCTGAGGCACACGTGAACACGCACACATTCAAACATGCAATGACTCTGTTTAATGCACAGTCACAGACACATAGATCCGTGTCCTTTACTTAAAGAGAGAACAAATGAAAGTCTACTTTGTGTTTAAATGAAAAATGCTTTTTAATATTACCACCACAGTGTGTCTAAAAAGCCTTACACATATAACTTTAACTTAAGTAACTTTTTAATCTCCAATAGAGTCCAAGCTATTGTTAGAACGAACGTATTTAATACAGAATACTAGGGGCTGTGTCAAATAGCTTCACTCATAATACTCACTATAGGTCAGGGCTATATAACATGCAATCTATGAGCAAGTTACATCACTCTCTCTGTCTCCTCTGTTCTCTGTATAAAGAGCTGCAGTGGCTCCTTCCCACTGAAATATTGTTGTTGTTTTTTAATTGAAATATATTAATTGAAACATATATAATACCATCAAAATACCCAAAACTGTATAATCTAATACTTATAGGACAGCTGAAATGTAATTTATAATAAGTTTTGCATCTCCTCTAATATTTAAAACAACCTGAAACAATCAGAAAATGTTTTATTTCTCTGATTCACTGCTTAGTTAACAGCGCTTTCACGCTCTATGCC